GTGTCTTGAACTTGTAACTGGCAAGATTTTCTGACTATCTCGCGATAGAGTGAGATAAAGAGGTAGTTAAGGAGGGCACCCAGCTATCAGCCCCAGAGACTGAGGTCTCCAGCCTTTGTCCTGTGAAAAGCCCAGTTCCACCCCAATCCTCATATCTCTTGTGAATTTCTGGAGGGTTTTCATTGTGTCTGGTCATCTCTGGTTTTGCTGTATGTCTTTCTGTCCATCCTTTGGTCCCCTCTGTGCTGTCTGCCCTTGTAGCAGCTTCCCCCACCAGCTTGTATTAGCAGCTTTCTGATGGTTCATATCATTCATATATTTCCATTTGGTATCATATTTGTAAATGTATTTTGCCTATTTTCTGTTTTTGGTTGATTCGGTTAGGAGATTACCCAGGCATTAGATAAGATCAATACCTACCATTTTTATCGGCATGAATGGAACTGGAGGAGCTTATGCTAAGTGAAATAAGTCAAGCAGAAAGGACAACTGTCATATGGTTTTCACTCATATGTGGAACATAAGAAATAGCTTGGAGGACATTGGGAGAAGGAAGGGAAAAATGAAGCAGGGGATAATTATAGGTGGAGGAGAACCATGAGAGACGAGGACTCTGGGAAACAGACTGAGGGTTTCAGAGGAGAGGAGGTGAGTGGATGGATGGGCCTGGTGATGGGTATTAAAGAAGTCATGTATTGCATGGAGCACTGGGTGTTATACCCAAACAATGAATCATGGAACACTAATCGATAACTAATGATGTACGGTATGGCGACTAACATAACGTAACAAAAAAATAAAAATCTTATTATTCCAATACTTAGAATTTACTAAGAAAAAAATATTTGCAAAGTTAACTATGAAGTGCTTAATTCCAAAGTATTATAATCTACTCATATCAATTTGAACATGTATATATACAGATGACTAATAAATAATTTGTAGATATGGTATAAAAAATAAATGCAGCCCTCATATGAGGTTTCTGGAATGAGTGTCATCGAGAAGTAAAGAATGGACGATAGTTCTACCCCATTTGCTCCATTCTGGATTGCCCCTCCATACACACCCATGTTGAGGTGGTCACGTGTGACAGTCCAGAGGATTATATTACTTCAGAGTAAATAGCTTAAATTGAGACAGGCATCCATTGCCTCCTGCTTCCCAGTGTCCCTATACTTCTAAGTGGCCTTCCACGTCTCCCCATAGGGCCTGCCTAGAATTGGGTCTCTTTCTCTCTGTGGACCACGTCGCATGACCTTCATTTATGATGCAGTCTCCCTTTGTTCTGAAGCTCAAAATCTGCACTTTTCTCTAATAGAGAAAGTCAGGGTCTTGTCCCTTCAGGCCATGTTCTAAACTTTGCACGCTCAGAGGTCACACTGAAATTTTCCTGAACAATGAACACGTCCTCTGATAGGAATTTACTGACTTTTCCTGAGAAATATGGCTATCACTCTTTGCTTGGCCATTTTGCAAATCTAGCTCACGCACATATGTAGATTGTTAGAATTCCCACAATTTCTGGCAAGAACCCTCTATTTTTAATGTTGCTTTGACTTGGTCATGGTTTCCCCTTGCTAATACTCTTGTGCTCATTAACATCCTTGTCAGATCACTGTGCACTGTTATTAGTTGGTCCTTTTCTCTTTATGTGATGGCCTGGTGCCACCTTGATTGCTGTTTTATTCGGTCCAGAGCTTCTCCATAGACTTTGTCCCTGCAAAGTGGACCTTGAGTGATAGACAGGCTTCCCCTGGAACTTCCGCAGAGTTTAATGGAGAGGAGAACTGGATACACGTCATTGTAATGCAAGATAAGATGTGACTGACTAATGTGAGAAAGGAAAAGCCTGGGGAGTTTAGAGATTCCTTTTGGAGGTGATATTGCAGTTCTTAAAGATGTTCTTTATTTTTTTAAGTAAACAACGTCAAAGTGCAATGCATTTTTGAAAAAAAATAATATAATACAGACTATAAAAAAGTACCACTGGTTTTATTTTTTATTTATTTATTTATTTTTTTTCAAAGACTTTATTTATGTGTTTGACAGAGACACAGCGAGAGAGGTAACACAAGCAGGAGGAGAGGGAGAATCAGGCTCCCTGCTGAACAGGGAGCCCAATGCAGGGCTCGATCCCAGGACCCCGGGACTATGACCCGAGCCAAAGGCAGATGCCTAACAACTCAGCCACCCAGTCACCCTAAGTACCACTCATTTTAATTGTTGGCACCTTTCAAATGAATGAATATAGCAGGATTTTATTTTTTAAAATAGTTGTTTGTGGTCGGGATTCTTTCCAGTTTCTGATATTACAATAAAGTTGCTTCTCACCCTGGAGATGTATGTCTGGATCTCAGAGAAAGTATTATTTATATGCTTTCCATAACAACCATGAACGTGACGAAGATGCAGAGGGACATTTTTGCATCAATATGGGAGTTTCTCTGCCCTGTCAAGTTCCTATTTTGTATAGGTGTTTTTGAATGATCAATGACAAACATGGGAATATAAATAAAACACAATTAAAATTATGAAGTTTCTGTGATGATGGCTGTAAGAACATGGGCGTAACAAGGTTAACCCATTTTTTGGA